TCAAAAAATAAACTTGAAAAATAAAATAAACGAAAAAGCAAAAAAAGCAAAAACAGAAAAAAAAGAAACAGGAAAGCGGAAAAAGAAGAAAAGAAAAAAAATAAAAAAAAACCAAGAAGAAACAGGACAAATGGTCAAAAAGAAAAAAAAACAGTCCAGGGAACCTCTTGTAGAAGGTTCCCAAAACCGAGATACTGTAGCGCGGTAATCCATCAGTAGTGGGCCGGCCCATATCTCTCGCTCGCTCCTGTTCCCTGTGCGTTCCTTCGACAATTTGCTGCAGTAAGCGTCAAATAGGATATTCCACATAGAAGGTCCCAACATTTATGCACCCTTTCGGTTTTTGGGCCTACTTACTTAGGTCATATTCTCGTGATTTTTTCCTTCAGCCACTTGGTTTTTCAGTAGTTTCCTTTTTTTCTCTTTGGATGCCAATTTTTTTTTTTTAGAAAAGGAAATGACCCCCAGCCTCTGCATCTGGGCGATGTATATGGCCACTTTATTAATTATTCTCACAAGACCTTACAAAATCAATACAACAATAAGACTAAAGCCGCCGTCTAAGCAACAAACTGTCGTTACATCTATCCAGTTGATGAAGGGGCACAGATAGCTTGGGCCTAATACCAAATAGACATCGCAGCCAAGCCTAACATCTAAGACCTAAGACCCCAACCTAGCCACTTGCCAGATCTGGGGCACACACTGGTCCGGCGTGCTCTCAGAGGCCGCCGTCGCCAACTGCCACCGCTCCATCTTCAGAACTGTACTGATGCATCAACCTTGCTCGGTCCAGCTATCGTCGACGCCACCACGACGCCCAACGACACCTCCTCCCTACGCGCAAACAGCTTAACACATCACGGTCGTCACTGATACACCTCAGTGCCATGCTGCCAAGTATCACCAGCCGACACAACTTGAAGTCCTTGGAGGATCTATCGTGCGTAGCACCTGCCGACCAGGCATGACCAAGCGTAGCACCTGTCGGTCGGGCATGACTTGACATCTCCACCGAAGCTCTGTGCAAGACGAAGCCGCTCCACCTCCTGCCTCTGACTTCCAACACTGCTCCACAAACAATACTCCCAAGAGAGAAACGACACCGCAGTGCCGCCATCGTCCGATCTGGAACACCAGATCCTAGGGTTACCCCCGGAGCAGCACGAGTGGGTCGACAGTAGTTACACGACGATGCCTTCATCAAGGTAATGGCGTAGAACGCCGCCATCGCCTGCCGTCGGCTCAGTTTTCACTGGCAACCATCTCTCCCCAACTCGCAGCCGGGACTAGATGATGGATCTCGAGATCCGATCACCAAGCTTCTGGCCGGCCACCGCTGACGAAGAAGATGACCACCACCACTGGCTACACCAGTCAGAACAGATCTGCCATGGGTGCCGCCAAGCATTCACCAGGCCCTCGACGCTGCCGCCGATCTAAAGCCAGATGACATGCCACCGAAGACCGCATCGCGCCGCCGCCCAATCCAGGCCAGCCGCCGCAGCAGCCGACCGAGGCCCGAGGCAGGGCCGACCGCCGCCGCCGTCAAAGCCAACGCCGTCGCTTGTAGATCGGCCACACCTCCACGCATGTTGGGGTCCTGCCACCCCTGAGACGCGGGAGGGAGGAAGAGCCCCCGCCATCGCCGTCGGCCTTCGGGCGCAAGCCGGCGGCGTCCTCCGGCGGCGGCGGAAGGAGGGAGGAGGATGGGCTAGGCCCCGGCGGCGGCTTGGGATTCCAGCTGACTAGGTTTTTCTAGGTTTCTGTCTTCTTGTCTTTTCCATTACTTCCTTTTTCAAATTATTGTATTTTTAATTTTATGTATTATATTTTTATTTTCCTTTATCTAAAATAAATATTTTTTTACGGAAATTCTTGAATATTTCTTAAAACATTCATGATTATGTTCAAACTCGTAACATTTTTTAAAATTTGCATACAGTTTACGAAATTCATGAATATTTATTGAAAATATGGAACATTTACTAAATATCAAGATTTTTAAAAAATTACTGAATTATTTTTGAAAATCCATGTACATTTTTTAGTTGCAAGATTTTTTTTCAAATTCATGTGCTTTTTACCCTTTTGTCAAATGTGTTAAATGAATAATTTATTTTCAAAATCCCAATAAAAACACAATGACGGGCATAAACTATCTATTGTTCCAACCCTTGTCTAGTGGTGTGCATTTTCGCTTATATTCCATGTGTTGCGTGTGGAATAGGAGGACTCAATGACAACGCCTCAGCTTGGCATGATGCCAACCAAGCTTGGGGCAACGGCGCGACCTTGGGCACAGGGTGAAGACTATAGAGCTCGGGACGGGGAGCTCGACAGACAGAGGAGGCTGCCTAAACTTTGCCTCCATTTTCTCACCATCATTATCATCCTCATTGACGACCTCAACCATGGACCCACCGCTGATAATGCATGTCAAGGAAAGGTGCCCGACAAAGCTAGGGTTTGTATGACACACTTTACGACACAAAGACCTTTCTATAGTAGGCATGAACGTAGTTGTCCTCCAAGCTTAGCCCCTATCCATATCTGGCTTGGCTCCTCTTTGATTATCGGTCAACATGAACTGCTAAGCATCGCTAACTCTTTGATCAGCGCAAGAGAAGGGTAGCTATCTTCCTTAGAAAGTGTATGAGAAAGTGGTATCTTGGTATAGATATGCGACATGAAGATGTATGAATGACTAATGTTATATTTGGTAATTTGTTTATCTAGTCATCACATTTTAAATTAGGTACAAAACTATGTCACACACATATACTATGTTGATACGTGCATACAATATAAAATATTCGGTGAATAGCCACTAGTTTAGGTTGTTATCATTAAATCAACAAATAAACAACCTCTCATCACACCTCAAACAACAGGTTTACCAAATGGCTACAATGCTCAGAAACAGGTCCTCTGCACAACAACTTCTCTCGGCAGATAACCGATGGCCTGCTCTTTTTTGTAGGACATGGCCCAACCAAACACCCTCTATGAATGTTATTGTGCGGCCGTCATGACCAATGGAGCTCAAGCAGGAAGAATGTGGTTTTATGATACCGCGGGTTGTTGATCCCGATCTTTTGTATTTTTGGTGTGTGTCAGCCTTCTGTATTTTCTGTGCATATTTTCCTGATCCGTGAGTGGTAGCGGGAATAGAGGTGTCAAATTTGTTTTCCAAGTTCTTTTCTCATTTCCTTCTTTTGTGTTTTTGGTCTTCTTATGTGAAATTACAACAACGATACAAACGTTTGGTAGTCGGTCTTGAAAAGGTTGTGAGCCTGGTTACAATGTGTTCAATGATTCTATGTTCCCACCTATAGTGGTTGGTGGACAATGTGGCTCACCAAAATGCTTGGGGTCATTGCTGCTTGAACATACTAATTTGATCTTCTGTAATTTCTTCACCCAATAGGCAGATGAATGTTGAGATAAATAATGTGAAGTTATAATAGTTTCGTTTTGAGTTGATCTAGTGGATCACAATTAATGTCTCATCTACTATATCCTTCTTCTAAAAGATCTTATCCGCTAATCAAAGAACTAGAAAATTGGTTCCGAAAATGTGTTATCCACCAAACATTTTGACAAATAACAAACCCAAAGGCAACAAAAGAGCAATCTAGACAAAAATTTGGTAAAAGCAAAAGCTTGACACCAAGTTTTACATACAAGCACTCATAATAAAAATCCATTGGAAACAATGCGACAAATGACCAGAAAAGCATTAAGCACATAGGCTCATATTCCATTGGCATTCTGGCAAGGACTATAACATCAAGATTGTCTAGACAATGGGAATCAATCCCTAAGTTGCTGAGATTCGATTGGGTGCTCATCTTTTATTCACACATCCATAAATACATAGGTCTTATAGTGTCCAACAGTTTCTTTTAAAATCACAACAACCAACTATTTTCATTCTCTTAATGAAACACTAAATAAACAAATCACATAGTTCTTATAGTGTCCAACAGTTTCTTTAAAAAAAACACAACAACAAGCTATTTTCAATCTCTTACCGAAGCAAAAAAACATAAATAAACAACATAGTTCTTATAGTGTAAGTTTCTCTAATTGACAACAACAACATAATGGAACAAAAATATAAAATTGCTAGTGTAATTTTATATTTCAATAAACATAGTTTTTTGAGAAGCACGGTACAAACACATATACTCACATACATGCATATACACTCATGTTCATAAACGCTCTCACGCACCCCTAGCCCTATGAGCAACTTCGGGAGACTGAGCCGGTTGGTCTTGAGGTTGATGAAGACACCACAGATGCCTCGCTATTGACGGAAACGTTGCCTCTCATTGAAAGAACACTCTGCCTTTATGAGACACACAAGTTTCAAACCTGAGGTCTGATTCCAGGTGAGTTGGGAGTACAACCATCCTCCTAACCATCCAATCACATATTGGTTCTCCGGTAAACATATTTAAAAACCAGGAGTGAGAGTGAAACGACGACGACGGAAAAATTTACTGTTTCTATTACAACAATGGTGGGTTTCAGCGGAAAAACAGTATGACAAACAAAACCTGGTTACTAGCAAGAATAAGACACCCCGTAGTTGATTAACAAAACAGTCATCCAGTCGCTAAGTCGCTAGGGATATACTCCGTCTGGCGTAGGCAGACGGTATTGCTCATGACGCGAGGCAGCTCACGTAAGTCTTTGGTCATGCTTGAGGTTTAGAAGGACTAGAGCGCGAGTCTCACGAATTACTGTAAGCAACACACCAATAATGGCTCTTTCCATACAAAATGTACTCCTGGTACCAAGTGGATTGGCTGCCTGATTTATCTAGTCATTTGCTAGTTTATCTTATTGTCTTGGTTCATTGGACTTTTGAAGTTCTAGTTTTGTTCGCATTTGTGCTGACGATTTCTTTAAGAATCGTTGTGAAGCAACGTGCGTGGTACTACTAGCACTATATAGCAAGCGCGTGCTGATCGAGGATTTTCAGGGCAATGCCAATGCTAGCCATGGACGCGGCCACCGGCATGGACAGCGGCGGCGTTCTACTGCTCCTTCTCGTCCTGCTCGCCGGTGTCGTCGCGACTTTCGTTCGGTCGTGTCGGTCGTCGGGTGATGGTGGAACCGCACCGAGCCCACCGTCGCTCCCGCTGCTGGGCCACCTCCACCTGATCAAGAAGCCGCTGCACCGCTCGCTGGCCAAGCTGGCCACCTCGGCGCACGGCGGGGCCTTGAGGCCGCTCGTATCGCTGAGGCTGGGGACGCGCCCGGCGCTCCTCGTGTCGACGCATGCCGCCGCCGAGGAGTGCTTCACGGCGCATGACGCCGCCCTGGCGGGGCGGCCGCGGCTGCTCGTGGGGAAGCACCTCGGCTACAACTACACGGCGCTCACCTGGGCCTCCCACAGCGCCCACTCGGGCGTCCTGCGTCGGTTCCTAGCCGGCAAGCTCTTCTCGGCGCCCCGCCTCGATGAACGGACGGCAGACCGACGTGCCGAGGTCACGTCCCTCGTGGTCAATCTGCTCCAGGACTCAGCGGCAGCAGGCGGCGGCGGCGCGGCGGTCACCATCCGCCCTAGGCTCTTTGAGCTGGTGCTGAACGTGATGCTGCGCGCGGTGACGGCGCACGGGCACTCCGGCGAATTGGGCAGGTTCCAGGAGTTCGTCGAGGAGTCGTTTAAGGTGGTCGGCGCGCCCAGCATCGGGGACTTCTTCCCGGCGCTGCGGTGGGTCGACCGCCTACGCGGCATCGACGCGGCGCATGCGAGGCTGCAGGCGAGGCGTGATGCGTTCGTCGGAGGCCTCGTCGACGACCACAGACGAAGGCGCAGCAAGGCCGGCGGTGGACACACGACCAGCGTCATCGACGAGCTCTTGGCGCTACAAGAAGCCGATCCCGAGTACTACACTGACAACGTCCTCAAAGGCATCGTCTTGGTGAGCAATAGCACCGTAATTCCTTCATCAAACATGACACCGGATATACTAGCTGCAACGTAATGTCCAACCAATCCAATCCAGGTACTGTTCAGCACCGGGACTGACACGACGGCGCTGACCATCGAGTGGACGATGGCGCTGCTGCTGACGCACCCGGAGGCGCTGCAGAAGGCGAGGGACGAGATAGACGCCAACGTCGGCACGGGACGGCTTGTCGAGGAGTCCGACATGGCCAACCTCCCCTACCTGCAATGCGTCCTGAAGGAGAGCCTCCGGTTGTGCCCCGTCGGCCCGCTCATCCCGGCGCACGAGGCCATGGAGGACTGCACGGTGGGCGGCTTCAAGGTCCGGCGCGGCACGATGATCCTCGTCAACTCGTGGGCGATCAACCGGGACGCCAGCCTCTGGGACTCTCCAACAGAGTTCATGCCAGAGAGGTTCCTCGACACGGCCAAGCCCGCGCCCATGATGCCGTTCGGGCTTGGCCGGAGGCGGTGCCCCGCGGAAGGGCTGGCGATGCGCATTCTCGGCCTGACGCTCGCGGCGCTCGTGCAGTGCTTCCAGTGGGATGCCGGGAAAGGTCGTGTCATTGACATGGCCGAAGGTGCCGGTCTAAGCATGCCTATGGCCACGCCGTTGGCTGTTGTGTGCCGGCCCCGGGAATTTGTCAAGGATTTTCTCTCTGCTTCCACTTGATGTATCACCTATGGAGTAAGGGCAGGTTTCTTTTATTATATGAAGAAAATAAATAAATGATTTGATGTGAATCCTACCGTTAGGGCATCTCCATGCCGACCATACAACCGCATTCCCTATATCTCCCGTCAGGTCCGATTAATTTTATTTCAAATGCATATCAATATAAGAGCAAGTTAAATTATGATTTTCTAGCACCCGGTCACAATGAATAAGAGACGGATGCTCATAGTTTTTGCATGCGCCTCATCCCAAAAGTCCGTGTAAAAGAGGGGATTTTCTTTGCCCTCCTAACCGGCTATCCAAGCCTCCTCGGTCACCTTACCACCGCCTCTTCCTCACCATCTGGCTCCTTCTTGGCCGCCTCCTTCTTGACCACCTCCATTTCGTCCGCCAAGCGCTTCAACATCTTGATACGGATGGCATGCACGATCGCCGCATCGTCATCCAACTCATCCATCCTCATGGTCAACATCTTTGTATCCTTCGAAGCGGCCATGAGCTCAACCCTTCTTTGTTCGAGCTTCGTCTCCTTCTCTTCGAGGTTGAGCTTCTTCCCCGTCGCCGCCATCGAGATGTTAAACCTTTCAGCCTTCTTTTTCTCCTTCACATGGAACGCTTGATACATGCTTTCTCCTTCTTCGCCAAGATGTCCTCAAACCTCTCCGTCATCTTGGCAGCCACCCCTTCTTGCTTCTCTTTCTTCTCTTCCTACTTCTTTTTTAGGAACCCTCTTCTAACCTTCTTGGGCGACTCTTTGGTTGGGTTGTTATGTCGGTGTTAAAACTGGCGGATCTTCGACAGGAGGTCCCGAGCTGCTGGTCTTGGAACAATGGTAACAGGAGGGAAACAGGAGACGATGTTTACCTAGGTTTGGACCCCTCGAAAAGGTAAAACCCTACGTCCTACTTTTTTATATTGATGTGATGGAGTATCAAGTACAAGATGATCTACCTCAAGCTCGTATGATTGTGCTATGAACCATAAGGCTGCTAATCATGCCTCTAGGGACTAAATTCCATGGCTTATATATGCACCGGGGGTACCTAGGCTATACATATGGTCGGTTGCCAATCATGTCAGCTAATGAGCAACCCTTGAAGTACGCGCCAAGTCTTCGGAGGTTTCCATCTTCATCACGCCGAGGTTCATAGCTTCCGGAGTCCTTCCTTGTGGAGATCGGTGGGCCGTGAACTCGGCCCATGGATTGTGGATCGTATAGGTTAGTACTCTTTAGTCCAGGACACCATCAATAGTCCCTGAACTTGTCTTCGAAGCTGAGGACGACAATCCCATACTCAGACCAATGAATTTGGCTTGGCAGTAGAGTTTTTTCTTTATCGGCTCGTGCTCAAATAGGAAGATTTATAAATTATCGGGTCTCCTTTCACAGTTGACCCTTCCGACCATATATTGGAAACCTTATCCTCAACAAGGGAAGTAATGGATCATTTTTTACAAAGGCCTCCCTCTTCGCGCGAAGTCCTAAGTTAGCTTAGCCTTGAAGACTTGCCATGTATGCATAACCAGTGAGAGGGTCCAAACCCCTGCATATTTTTTTAAACTGTCATCTCCTATCGTGGGCTTGAAGCAGTTATCACGAAAACGTTTCGCGGCTCGAGGCCGCCACTCATTGGCACCTCTTATCAATGTAGAGATCGTGCCCCAATTTTTAGGGGATATCATCAACACATTGATTTACCGTTGCGCGTATAATGACGCAATGCTTTGGAAACAGGTGCTTTATTCGGCGCGACGTTTTTTGTTAGATTAGTCTCTGCATTTTTTGTTATCCCAGAGATATGAACATTTTAGCTAAAGATTATTATTGAAAGCTCAGTGAAGAGATTGTATTTCCGAATGTCAACAATGCGTAATATTCATGTGATATAAACTTTTGTTTGGATATGTGTTGTGTCATGCCTCCATTGCATGTAAAATGTTAAATATTTAATTTATTTCAAAAAAAGTGTAGCACTCCACATAAAAGTAAGCACAAGTCTACCTTGCAAGATAGCAAGTAGAGTAAAAACCAACATCTTCCATGATAGTAAACATCACACAAGTGTGATTCATGTATAAGGACTCTGGAAATCTCATACTTTCCTAGAGGAACAAGTATCACTGAAGGAATCAGTATTGCCCAGAATCGACATGTAATCAACTGAAGTATAATCTTGGATAGTAACGGAATAGCGTGACTTGTATGGTCGCCATACTGACTTTTAGTACTACAATTAGTACTCATGGTCACAGTACGGAAAAACGATACTTCGATAGACGAACAAAAATTGGCACTGTACTAAAATTCCATTGTAATAATAGTTAAAATTATAACATTCTTGAGAAAACAAGACTTATTTGCAAATTATTAATACCAATTGCCAGAGATCCAAGAAGATGACTTGGTTGGCGCACGGTTGCTAAAGCATTTAATTTTATTACATACATTAGCTCTGTCTGTTTGTCCATATGTCCACAAGTTAGCATTTCTCTTCAAAGTGTATCAGTCAAGCAGTAGTATATTATTTACCTACCAGGCAATAATAAGCAGACGTGATACTATGCTCGCTGGCTAGCCCACTATATATTTGACAAGTATGGAGAGCTAGCTGAAGCTCCCCCTCGCGCCTAGTTGTTTGCCAATACTTGAAGTACTAACACGCAGATACGTATGCATCTAGTTGTTTGTCAATACTACGCATTTGAAAAGAGAGAGAGTAGGATGTACAAGGGTCAAATTAAATATATAACACTTCGAGACGTAGTACTGTAGCATAGGGCTACTACATGCATACAACTACAGAAAAATGGAGGAGAAAGAACTAGTGAAGTATGGTAAACGTAAATCTGCTACTGCGGGAATAGGAGACGTTGGGAAAGAAGTATCTCTGTGGGCGCAAAGTTAGGCAACAATGACTTGCGGTCATACGACCAACTGGAGGGATTGCATGTACCGCAGAGCATGCTGATGCAACACACCGCAGTGTTGTTGTTCACCACTATGCCGCCCGCTCAGATGCGCCTGCACATTCACCCCCGCCTAGAAAGCTGATACTTCCCTAGAGGAACAACAATTAGCACCGAATGAATCAATGTTGTATCCAAATGGACGTGTACTCAACTAAAGTATAATCTTGGATTGTAATGGAATAGCATGACTCATGTGGTCGCCATACTGATTTTCACTAATAGAATTAGTAGTGCAGTACTAACTCGCCATATTTAGGCAGTGCTAAGTCATGTGATCGCAAATACTGAAAAATGATATTGTATTTCGCTAGAGGAAAAACAACTGGCACTAGCTAAATAGTATACTAAAATTCCATTTTAATAATAATGAAAATTATTGCAATAAATTGGTCGACTGTTCCTTTCCAGAGTTGAAGAATACTAATTCCATAGAAACTAGACATATTAGCAATATCAATTCTAATTGTCAGATCGATTGATATCTAGGAACATAACTAGGCTGATGTGTGGTTGCTGAGGGCATAAATTTTGCACTTTGATTACAAGCATTAGTTGTGTTTGTCCTTGTGGTCAGAAGCTAGTATATATCTTTGGTAGTTGTTAGGAATCATACTGCTGATTTATTGCTTCCCATCAGACCACTTGGTGGCCATTGGATTAGTACAATAATATGGGTTTGATCAGTACGAAGGGATGCTAGGCTATTTGTTAGATTTCTTTGTAACAGACTGCTTTAACCGTAACTGCTACCGCAATGCACACATGTAGTAAGGTCCTTTTGCTAGATTTATTCAATTAACCAAGACTTGCATCATTCACAAATTTTCTGAGTAAGCAACTAGGGGGATCATCATCAAGTACAAGATATATTATTCCGATAACTAAAGATAGCTAACTCATGGAAAACACCATTAACTTCTCTTGAGCAATGTTTGTATTCAACAGTCCAAATTTGCATCATCGTGTCCAGAAAATCCACATAAACCGCTGCCGCCAAGTCCCACTATTGTGATTGGCCTTTCTAGAAACTGATCACCTCCACAGAGTTAGATTCTGCCTGTAATCTATTGATTTAAAGGGGGTTTCCAAAGTGGAGTCCATCCTTCATGGCTAGTGCCTCCATGGTCGCCGCATCTGCTGCATATGCATTGAATGTGCAGTTCCACCCAACGAAAGATTCATTGGCATCCCTCAAAATCGATGTTGTCGCTCCTGTGCCCAAGTAAACATAAAATGAAGCGTCCACACTTAACTTGAAGTACTATGGGAGTATCTTGGGACATCTTTGGTTTGTTACCAAGGCATTATGTCTGCTTAATGAAGCTGCATTAACTGTTATAGCATGCATCGAGACCGGCCAGCGGCCAGCCGACGGTACCCTCTCATCATGGATAGTTGTCTTTGAAGCCACCAGAGATACCAACACCCCACGACTACCACGACTTGTACTTCAACATGACTCATACCTTGCATTGCAACAACGGGGGAGTTGAGGATGTGCTTGAGTACATCAGAACCTGCAAGATTAGTAGCCAATTCCATTTGCACAATATCCTCGAGTAAATTTTCTCTAGAGATGCATAGCTCGCTCATGGTGCCAACAGCACTTTTTTCATGGTACTGAAGACAAACATGTTATGCTGGAGGAGAAGGGGGCATAGACCATTGGGGCTTTGTGTAGGAATGTACACACACTTATAGGCGCCTTGCCATCTAAATGAACTACACAATCAAGCATGTAGGTGGAGATATCAAAACAAGATTACGGGGTGTAAAGAATGAAGTGCGGGAAATGAGAGAGGGTTAAGATGCAGGAGAAGAAGCTTGGAGGAGGAGAAGGTCGAAGACAGAGGGTTAGTGGTGAAAGTAAAAAATATATGTTTTTTTAGACAAGCAAAAAATATATTTGATGTCGTGTGTGTGTGTGTGTGTGGCGGTGAGCAGGCAGCCCATGAAGGTATGTCGTCTTGCTCCAGGATGTGGGATTTTATCCGAGTCGGGATGCATTTGATGGACGAAAGCGTGAT